ACTGAAAAGTTGGAATAAAATTCTAGAAGAATCCGAATAAATCGCTAGTATGAATCTATCATAGGATAACTTAGCATACTTGGCTCCTTTACATGCTAATCGCCTTTTAACTTGTGTTGGTCCCTTTAACGACATTCATAAAATCACAAATACATCGCAAAATGTTAAAATTAAAATTAATTCGAATCGTTAACTCGACGGATAACTCGAACTTTAACTAAATTTGACTGGTTTCAAATTCCCATTCGATTCTCCAACCTTACTCAAGTCAAAAGTTGTATCCCGGATAAGTCAGACATACCAGCACAAGGTAATTAGAGATATGTGCTTCAAAAATCCCAAGTTATGACGAATTTACTGTCCATGGCAGATAATGTACACCATGAATTTAGTAACAATAACCAGCCGGAGGTTTTTACCCATTTGTTCCAAACAACTACATAGATATTAACCTCGACAGGACAGTAACAAACTGATTCTCTCCTCATGGCCACAACAAATATCAAAATAGACCTATGACTAACAAAGGTATAAACGTTCGAAAAAGATACCTGATGAAATTCGATGGTTCCATTCTAGTCAAAACTAATACAAATCATTATTTAAAGAACTTCATTCCATTACTCTTATCCTGCCAAATTCAATAACAATCGTTCATGTATGTATTGTAAAATTCTACTTTCTATAATTTAGAAATGTCCCGGCCAGATAACCACCCGGTTGGTATTTCTCAATGTACCAGTAAAGTTGGTCATTGTATTTCTTCCCTGTTCGTATATCAACCTAGAATTCCTTCCCGTTTAAGTGTAGTTAGATAGCCCAGTCAGTGCCATTTGCCTATTGCAAGAAACCTAGAATTCCGTCATTTATGAATTTACGTGCCAGTGTGATTCTGGCTACGTAGGACGCACAACCCAAAGATTGGGGGACAGGATAAAACAGCATGTTCCTTCCAACATACGAAACAAAACTGCCCCTCAAAGAGAACAGCCTTCTCGATCTTGTAGGTCTAGAAACACTGTTAAAACAAGTGATTCTGCCATTGGTCAACATCTTTTAGATAACCCAGATTGTGCAAAACTCTGTAATGACGACATGTTTCGGATAATTGGCAGAGCCCGGTCGTCCTTCCATCTAGCAGTTTTGGAGTCAATCTACATAAAAACGAAAAAGCCGCCATTGTGTAGACAAAAAGAGTTCGTTTTCTCTCTTGGACTCCATTGGTAATTTTTCTTTAGGCTCACGGCACTGATTGGTCAACTATACCGGTCTTGTGCTTGCGTTTTTCTGATTGGCCTATTTCGATCCACAACTGGGTATAAATTTTTCCATCGTGTTTTTTCGGAACCTATTCTGACGTTTTATGCTCTGAGGAGTGTCAGACGAAAAAGCTTTTAGTATGTCGTAAAATGTTTGCTTTTTTCAAAGCCATTTTGAAACCTAGAATTAGAGTCCTAAGTTGAAAAGGAAGTCTTTCAGTTTACACAATAGGTTTTTTTTTCATTTTTATGCAGATAGATTCTAAAACTTCTAGATGGAACCTTTTCTAGATTTTCATATAAAAATTGCTGTTACGAAAACAAACCGTTGAGATAATTGCACAGCAGCAACGTTTCTACATTCCTAGTAAAAAGTCCTTGCGATAGTTTTCGAAAATAAACAACTCTTAATCCGAAATGAAATTTTGCTCTTGCATATCCTGATCATATAGGACAGCAACCTGGTTTTAGAAGAGAAATTTCAAACAATTTGACAATTTTCGACAAAGCCAGAGCGTTACTTATTTCCTGATATTCTAATGCACTCAAATTCATAGACGAGACCATCATGCCACACTTTATCGAAGGCCTTAAACAGGTTTCTAGAAGAAACCATGACTGCACGAGTTCCCTTATTTGAAGTTTCACGGTATGCACAGTATGGTATATCATAAGGGTGACATACAAAAGCTGATTGATCGATGAGTCACCTGGAAGGAATCAAGATCGTTGGAAAGTCAGTAACCAATTTTCTGTGAGACGAGGGTAGATTACATAAAATGACAGCAATTCAAAAATTTTGCCAAAAATTGGCGGCAATGAAACAGGCCTATAGATTCTTTTGCACTGCCTGTTACCCTTTCTGTGAATTAGAATGATGGAAAGACATCTTCAAGATTGATTAACATCCAGATTTAGCTCGTCTAATTATCTGCAGTATGGCTTAAAATCTTTGTAGTTGGTAGCTTTAGCAGTATGTTTGCAAGAACACCAACACCTAACATTGTCTATAAACTTCATATCTATACAATAAATTTGAGCAGATGTAAAGCGTGGCAAGGCAGGCCTATTTATAAACTGAACTTCTGGATGATGCCAGAAATCAAGTAATCTCAAACGCAGCGCCTAATTAAAAGTCGATTGCTTACTTTAATCAAAGCTTTGTTTGTTTTTTCTGTTGAAATAGCCAGTGCAAAATCATGTAACTTGGTGTGTTGACCAAATTTTCTTTCAGTTTTGACTTTTTCATAATTAGGAGATCAAAGGAAACTAGGTTGTAATTATACTCAGTCATTTGTGACAATGATTTTTCGCTGTTATATGCTAACAAGGTGCTTCAAAATTGTATATGAAAGATATACATAGTTCATGTGTCAGAAAGACAGGGGGAAACACAGCTGATAGATAAAAACTCACATTAAAATCAGATCCGGGGTTTCTATTCGTTTTATTTCGCAAAAAGAAAATCTGAGTTCATCATACGAGCGTATAGTCTTCACGCTGTAAAGAGCCACAGCAAAGAGATGTGGCCTGCAGACTAAGCCACTTGAAGAATAGTTCGGACAAAATTCAGTTGTACGTGCCAAGCAAAAATAAACTGACTACATCTGTTTACACCGTATCTATTGACAATCAATACCAACTTCTCTGAAACATTGACTGTGTTAATGATGCAAGAAAGCAACGGAATGTGGTAGAGAAATTTTATCATGAAGTAAAAAGGAATGAAAAAAGAGATGATCCGATCTTTTAGTCTTCAAAGAATCTACTAAACCAAACTTGCCAATGGAAATACAACACTTCTATGCCTTTGTGGTGATAGGTGTGACGGGCGTTGCCTTGAATGCCCTGGAAATGATCATTATTATGAAAGGAATGCAATGCCGAGTGCCATTTCAAATGTCGGTGCTGAGTCTGGCAGTGCCTGATTTGCTAACATCCTTAACGGTCTTCATTTCCTCTGTCTTGATATTGTCACTGAAAATAGGTAGCCAAGAATATAACATGACAGCAGTTGTTTACTTACATGTAGTAATCTTCAGCTCAATATCAAGCCAACTACACGTAATATTTATAACAATTCAGCGACTGATTGCTGTACTATTCCCATTCAGCTGTAAGCATATCATGACGTCATTTCGATGTGGTCTACTACTTACATTGATCTGGATAATATCGTTAACTGTTACAGGTGTAATGAAGTATATGCCTTATGTTATAAACGTCTTGACAGTAGTAAGTGCCGTTATGATCGCCCTTTCATATGCCTTGATAGTATATCGCATCCGAAATCGTCCCGTTGTGCCAAATAGAGAATTAACGACCGGTTTCGAACTTATTATATACTCTGGAATTCTTTTCATCCTTTTCGTTGCATGCTATTTTCCGTTTGTTTGCTTTACATTCATCAACGGTCACAATAACGAAAAACCTCATCCAGTGGTAACTTATTATATGTATTGGCTTAATATGGTAACAAACCCGCTGGTATATTTTCTGTTCAAAGTGTTTAAAGGTAGTGCTGGAAAGCTTTGTAAGACCCATCTAACTGCAGGTACTAATGCCTCTTCTCCTTCTCAATAAAACACAATTATTTTCATGATTGGATCCTAAGGCTTATTAAATTTGAAGTTCGGTTTTAACGTACAAAGACGTTCAGTATTCTGTTTTCTGGTAAGATGGTGATGTAAATGGCGCTGGAGAACATTCATACAAAGAGAGTCACCGTTGCTCATTCATTTGAGGAGTGAAGTTGGTTTTTTATTTCTTCCTTTTCGTTGCAAAGTATTTCAGTACAAGAACAAACATGTCTAAATTGATCTGGGACAAGTTTAGGAAATAAACAGTAAAGGATGCAGATATGACGCTTGTTGCACTTAATACATCAGCATTGCTATTTCTGATAACGAACTAAAACAAGCTCTGACTGTTATTTGAAAGGGTATTTGTTTACGAAGTATGGCTGTCTGCAGTGTATTGAAAAATATTTGGCATTGACTTAACATTCCATGCACAAAATTCCTATCGTTTTAATTGATTTCCATTCTTACTTGTTTTAACATTTTGGCAA